AGACAGACAGACCGCGGGCCTACTGCATTGAGACACGCCCGGAATCAGTAACTAACGAACTGCACCAAAACACCACAGAACGAGGAGGAGTTGGAGAATAGGCAAGAAAAGGATAGAGAATGTCTGACGTGTTTTCACTTCTCTATTTAGCTCTGAGTGTTGAGGAGTAAATAACTACAAGCAGCAATAACTACAAGCACCTGTAGCATAAAGGTTTACATTTATCAGTAGTATTACAGTAGCTCAGCAGTTTTCTAAAGAGAGCTTTTTAAGTAAAGGTACAAACATTTATTGTTGCATGTCAAAGTTTTGTTGGCGAAATCTAGTAATTTCATCTGGAATTAGGCACAAGGGTGCGCTTTTCATTTTCAAGTTTTTCACACAAATTCTGCATGCTTTCCAAAAGAAGGATGCTATGTTTGAAAGTGACTTTTGAGTGCAATGACAATTTACAATGGATTTTTGTGAAATGTCGCTAATAGGGGCTTTCGCACCAAAGGAACCTTTTCATAGTTCCTAGAACTATTGGTGGAAGTACACGCTTTTTGGCGTGTTCGCGCCACAGGATCTAGGAACGGTTTTAGTTCTAGGAACTACATTTGGGGGAACTAAACTAGCTCCTAATACAGAGTAGGTTCTGAAACAGTTCTATAGGAACTACCAGTGACGTAAGTGTACGCTGATTGGCCAAACGCATACGAAACACTGGCTACACATAAAAATATTTTCTCCACGTACATGAAAAACAGTGATAATGGTATTTACCTGTTGACTGCAGCGTTATGTTCTTTTCTCAGCCTCAGATTTTGGTCCGATTTTAGTGATTTTCAAATGTATTGGGCAATAATGTAACTGTATCAGTCGATAAAATTCAGAACCATGCCATTTTTTTTTAATACTGATAATCAGTTAACAATGATGTTTAGTTCTGTTAATAGGTCTTACACATGCCTTTGCGTACTAAAATAATTTCACAGTGTTTCCTGTAGTAATCTTCAGTGATTTAGTGAGTGGTTAATTTTAAGTGAAGCAAAACCATGTAGCTCAACTAGTCCAATGGAATAAAACATTTTTTTAATTTCTCTAAACTTTCCAGAATATTTGGAAACTTTCTAGGAATTTGTTTAAAACTTTTAGAACGTTGGAATCATAAGATGTATGTTACAATGTGTATTGGATTGTTGGATTCCCCAATAAAAAGACTTAAACAAAACTTTTAGAACGTGTAGAGAAATTTACTGGAAATTTTCTGCCCCTTTGCAACCCTTTACAACTTACTGTGATTCTCATGAGAACTACAACAATGAACTGTCTGCTTGTTCATACAATATGCACGGTTAAAGATAGTGATATGAAACACTGCTTCCTGAAACTTCAAAACCTTTGTGAATCGTTTGTTTTAAACGAGTGATTCAGATTGTATTTTTAATAATTTGGATTAAATAGATAATACTTTCAATAAAACGTTTGCAATTGGTTAAAATGTGTTTTTATACATGTTTTGGCCTTTGCATTTACGCGTGGTGTTTCAAATGCTATAAAACAGTGAATAGTTTTGCGAAGCATTTGGTTCAGTTGAACCAAAGCTTCGAAAAGGTTCATTTCTCCCATCACTACCTCAGAACAGTGAATTATTTTGTGAAGCAATTAAATCAACTTTCTCTGCTTTCAGTAGTTTTTTAGGTTGCCTTTGCGTCGCTGTTCCAATACCACGATGTTGCACTGCATCGGCGTAGATCAAGGCCTTTTCACACTGAACGCGAAAATTTGTCGCGATGACGCCTTTGAATGGAAACAATAGATCCCTATGGGGCTATTCACACCAGACACGAGCTTTTGCGGCGCGAAATAGTTATGTAAAACTAATAACAAGAATATGAAAACAAGATGCTGTACATGGGAAGTAACTAGCTCCAGAAGATGGCGGTAATGCAACACCAAGGATGCAAGCTGCCATTAAAACCCAAAGAAGTAGTTGTAAATTCCACCGATAGGCTAGTGCGTTTTAAAGTGTGGTCTACTCTTACATGTCCAACAAAAAGAAGGGACTTCTGCGTCCCTACTTAGGATTCAGTCATCTTTCCATTTTGTAAGCCGTATATGTTTATGCTTTTTTGTCTTTGTCGGTCTTTCTGGCTTCAGACCTTTTCTGCTGCTTCGTCTTTACAGCTGCTGGTTCTCCATTTGTCTCAGCTGGAAAAGCACGATAATAAGTGTGCCTTAAAGGGTTAGTTCACCCAAAAATGAAAATTAGCCTGTGTTTTACTCACCCTCAAAGCATCCTAGGTGTATGTGACTTTCTTCTTTCAGACGAATCCAATCGAAGTTCTATTAAAAATTGTCCTGGCTCCTCCAAGCCTTTCAATGGGGGTAAGCGGGTGTTGGTTGTCAGCCGTTCAGAAGACGTGAAATAAAGTGCACGCATCCGTAATAAAGCGTCCCTCACACGGCTCCGGGGGGTGAATAAAGGCCTCCTGTAGCGAATCAATGCGCTTTTGTAAGATAAATATCCATATTTCAAACGTAATAAACACTTTTTTTCTCACTTTCGTTGACTGTAGTACGCAGAAGACGATCAGGCACAGCGCACGGGTCACGTCATTTCATCAAGGTGAAATACTTTTTTGTAGAAAATTATTTTGAGTATGGTCTTCATGAGAGTGTACACAATTTAGATGACTCACAAAAAAAAATTCATCTTAATATGCCAGACATTTTAAATTAGAACCAAACTATGCGCACTGTCTTCATTTCATTTCAAAAACACAATTCTTCTTGTGTAAGACTTTTTACTTTTTAAAATGGAACTAATGAATGTGCATGTTTTTGTAGTTAAGGTAAATTATAAGACTGCATTTATGCTAGAGTCCCTTCTTCCTCATTTGTATAAAGCTTACTGGATATAGTTTTCCATTTTTTCATGTTACACCTGCACCTTTGTTCCAACACCATCTGTCAATGGAATAATGTTTATTTCCTCAAAGGTTGCAAACAAATCAGTAATCAAACCAGAATTGTTCAATTCTTTATGATGCTCACTCCTTTACTTGTGTGTAGAAATTTGTTTGTTTATTGCTGTCAGATTCCCAGAAACAATAAAGACTGCTCTGCTTGTACATAAGATAGGGCTATATTATTGTTATACATTTTTAAAAAGACTTACTTTTTTACTTTCTGATAACTTGTCATGTATAGTATAGCTGGACTGTAATGTAACTACTTTAACTGCGATACAGTTTCAAAAGTTGCTTCTGCCACAGTCAGTTTGTTAACCTCTAAAGGCCACTAACATGACATTTCCACCTTAAGTGGCAGTGTTGAATTCACGCCACCTTAAACATCAAACCTGTCCTTCTCAGAAATTGCGGGAGACAAATGTGCTTGCATAGTCCCAGCGAAGATGCATGACAGAGGTGGAAGTATGAACATCAGCCAATCAGGCTTCAGGTTCAAAAGTCATATAGCAAAGACAATCATCTATACCGCTTCAAGACTCAAGAAACAAAACGAAAACCTGACAAAATTCTAAATGTGTTCTGGAATTTACAAAACAAACAGCGACGATTCTTAAACGCATTAATATGGCGACAGATAAGTGCCATCATTTCTCTGAGGATTCATACATGGTCTTTGATGACAACAACAGCCACTGTGACAAGAAATCAACAACAAAAAATCTTTTGGATGACAATAATTAAAATAAATAATCAAATAAATAAGCAGCCCTTTGAAGATGTACAAACAGAAGTGGAACGACTAATGAAAGAACCGCCGCACATGTTCCAGAGTCCCCGGCGCTATTAACAAACCTCACACGCATACAGATCAACACGTCTGTCTGTTTACCGTGAATGCCTCCCTCCAGAGACGCCACCTGCCCTTGATATCTGACACAAATTGCACTCACGTTGTTTTTAACTTTTTACTATTTAACAACTTTTTGTCACTACAATTTCACAGTTGTAATTCATTAACCCCTAATAGTAATAGAAACCTTCAGCATTGAAGGTTAAATCTGATCTGAATGACAGTGGAAGAAGCTTAGGCCATGTCCACACGTACACGGGTATTTTTTATAAACTGCTACAAATATACCCCAGCGACTTATGACTGGTTTTGTGGTCCAGGGTCACAAATGATCATTTTACTTTTTAACTTGTTTAAAACCTGAATTATACTTTTAGCACCACTAATCATTTATCCAAAATAACAGACAGGAAAAATGAGCAATTGACAACAATTTAATCTGTAAAGGACATTTTGGATGACACGGTTGATTTATTCCTTCTTGTAGTCCAGCAAGATTTGTGTATTTGCTTTGAACAGGGCAAAAACAGCATTTCAACTAGAGTTAATCTAGATCTAGAGTTGACTGATTGTAAGTGTGCAGCGTGCATGATTCAATGATAAGTAAACATAGACACACTCCAGTAGAGTGAATGACTGTATGGTCCGCACACACATGCCTGACACTACATCTCACGTCAGCAGAATATCTACACACCTAAGACAGCAAACGGCACGACTGCATGCTGGGAAAAAAAGGTACCAACAATATCTATACTTATGCATAACAAAAGAAAAGATGTGCTGACATCTCTGTTGAGAGAAAGCCTGGAGGCAGCAGACGACGTCTAGAAGTTCTTATCAAATCTGCAAGGAGTGATTTTATTAAATAAGACTGCGACCGCTAGAGCAGGAAATCCGAAATGAATTGTGAGAGACGTGAGGTAATCATTTTAAAATAAATCCTGAACGAGGCCTAAATAGATGGAAAAATGCTATACTACGTAGAAACCATGAATTATAAAAGTACACTTTACAATAACGTTCAATTGGTTACTTACTTTCACAGCACATCTTGATTAATGTTCATTTCTACACATACAAATACGTTTATAAATTATATATTTATATTTAAATTATAAATGTAAAAATCTAAATGATAAAACTCATAATTGTGTCAAATATTAAATTTACTATTATTATTAACCATATTAATGTATGCTGTATTCCTAAATGATGTAAAAATAGGTTTTTATTATTAGTTTATGATATTAATGCATTAACTAATGTTAGAAAATCAAACCTTATTGTAAAGTGAGTTACCAAAAACAAAACAAAAAACTGTTATTTCTGAATCACGTCACTATATAAAATAGAGAACATGTCCATTTATAACAGTTGAACGATCAAGATGCTTAACTACTTGCCTGATAAGACTAGTTTAGAAATCAACTTTCATGTTCCAGCACACACACCCCACATCCAACAAAAACATTGCAAAGGAAAAATATGTATTTATGTCACTGACCCTTTGTACGCAGTGGGACAGCTGTTGTTCAGGAATATTACAAACACAAAAACTCACTCAACCCGATAAATCAAGCACTAGAGTACTGCACAATTATGTTGATAGAAGCCCCAACTCCACAAAGCAGTTTCGCCTTTTCTCTTAAAGCAGTTTAAACAGCTTGTGAATACAGAAATCTGTCTGTGGGTCAGTGTAAAAGGCCATTTGAACTCGGAGTCTCCTCTCGTCTCACTTGTCTTGGCCTTTTTCTTCAGCGCCGCGTCTCGCCCTGCATTCGGCGCACTCCCCGCCTTCATCTCCTCCATGCTCTTCCTCATCCTCCTCGTGAATGATCTCCAACTCCAGGCGGCCGATGTAGAGTGATACCGCACACAGCCAGAAGAGGGCGGCGACGGACACCAGGCCCGCGTGGAGCAGCACAGTCAGCCGAGAGAGGAGCATGATCCTCCTCAGGGTCAGAAGACTGGTCACATATGACGCTCCGCCGAACGAAATGCACACTCCACCCAGGATGAAGAACACTGGGCGAGTAAAGGAAGAAACTGTTCAAAACAGGACTATGATTTAAAAGAAAAACCGACGGACTGAGTGGAAAATTATATAGTACCGTATCCGGCCTCTCGGCCCACTTCACTCTGCGCAAACGCAATAACGCCGATTCCTGTTGCCAGGAGACCATTCCGGAACCAGGACAAAAATCCTGCAAAAAAATAAATTAATTAATAAAAATTGCTTTACGGACATGCTTATTTGCCTAGATGTAAAGTACTTAACTGCAGGAAATATGCTATTTAAGCATCAAAACATTTTTTGAAGCATAATTTAATATTTTTGTAAGGAGCACAACAGTCAGTTCCAGATATAAAAAATCCCATTCATTTTCTTTTCAGGGAACTTTATTTTTAATGATAACTTGTAAACCGTTAAAGACAGACCTTGTGTCAGCTACGAGGTTGTTAATCTTTTGTTTAAGCCATCAGTTTACATTATTTCAACATATATTTTTTTTAAATATTCATGTTTAACAGCAGAATTCCTGGTGAAAATAATTCCTATATATATATATATATATACACAAACACACATATATATGCGTTTGTGTGTGTGTTAAAAGTATTATAATAAGTTGGTGCTGATGGCCTTGTGGGTGGCGTTGTGCATTGTTGCGCTGCAGGCGTCCTGAGTTCGAATCCCAACTGGGGGCCCAAGTAAAGTGTAACCATATATACACACACACACACACACACACACACACACACACAGTATTATATGCATATTTTGTAATAAATATTTCTATATATATTTATAATTACCCCTTTTAAATTAGTAGTTTTATATTTATTCATAATTTTTATTTTGATTACATCATTCACAATGTTTCATGAGACTGTAGTTCTTTCCTTAAGTACACTGTTTTCTACCTTTGTCTTTTTGTCCAATTTTCTTTTCTTTTCACTTTAAATCAATCATTTCAAAGTTTGTCATTTTGTGATTCACCTTGTAGCTGGTTAGTTTGGGTCATGGTTTTTAACTGTTGCACTTTATTACAAAACCGTGAATTTCGGGTGTTAAAGGATTAGTTCACCCAAAAATGAATGTCCTTGCATCATTTACTCACACTCATGTTCCAAACCCTTATAACTATTACCGTTCAACACAAATTGAAAATGATAATGTTTTTGCTTATTCCCAATAAATTACAACAAACTGAAGACTTCATGCTTCAAAAGGACCCCAAAACACCATAAAAGTAAAATAATATCAGTCTAAATGACTTGTGCAATTTATTTCAAGTATTACATCATACGAGAACTTTGAGTAATAGACTGAAATGTAATTCATTATTCACTGATAATAATGATAATAATTATTCTTGACTGAATAATACAGAACAGTTTGAAATGAATTAGAATGAAATAAATCAAACAATTAATTAAAACCTGACTCTGAATAATGATTCATTCACAAATTGTACACAAACTGATCTTGAAAAAGCTTTCAGATTTTTAGCCGGTTCTTTAAATAAAGGTACAATACATTTGGGCTTATGATACTTTATGTATGTATGTATGTATGCATGTATGTATTTATTATATTTAGAGCTTGACAGTCCTACTACTTTTCAATATACTTATAGTAGACAAAATATTCCATAAAAAGTAAGAAAAAAAAAACAAACCAACAACAGAAAAGCACAGTCATAGTTTGGAAAGACATGGATGTGAGTAAATGATGACAGGATTTTCTATATGTCAATAGGCCTAATTCGTGTTTCATTAATGTTGGATAAATGACCTCACCTGTTTCATGAGACTTCCGCAGCATCTACAAAATAAAATAAAATAGTATAAGGGTCTACAAAACAGATTATTTAGCAGTTAACTCAGTTAAATATTGAAATATTTACAGTACTACCATTATTATTAGTAATAGTATTATTGACAAGCAGTATTATACCAGGGTAATGCCATGAATTTCAGACACATTATATAGCCCTATAATACATAATTTTGTACCAGAACCATCTTAGAATCACATTCATTGGAATACAATGTTAATAAAACAGTTTATGAATATACAGGTGCATCTCAATAAATTAGAATGTCGTGGAAAAGTTCATTTATTTCAGTAATTCAACTCAAATTGTGAAACTTGTGTGTTAAATAAAGTCAATGCACACAGACTGAAGTAGTTTAAGTCTTTGGTTCTTTTAATTGTGATGATTTTGGCTCACATTTAACAAAAACCCACCAATTCACTATCTCAACAAATTAGAATATGGTGAACTCAAGGGGCCGGGGCTCTGGCTCTTCTCAGTTTGCGGAGGAAATAGAGACACTGCTGTGCTTTCTGTTTTGAAATACTGAAGTTTTGTATTTCATTTGGAAACCAAGGTCCTAGAGTCTGGAGGAAGGGTGGAGAAGCTCATAGCCCAAGTTGCTTGTTTATTGAGATGCACCTGTAGTAATCATATGACAACATAAAATACCACTAAGTGTACCACAGTACCACCAGTACTTTTCATAATTAGTGTAATATAAAAAGGAACAATTTTAATTTAACAAATAAACTAATACTCTGTCTGTGTTTACCAGCGCATCAGCTCTGTCTAGCTCAGTGAAGTACTGTTGCTCCGGTGATGATCGTGATCTGTTCAGCGGGGTTTTCTCCGCCGCGCGTCGCGCGCTCCCCCGGTGAAGCGCTCGCGCTGGAGCCCAAACATACTGCAGCAGCAGCGGCCGCCGCACGAGCCAAGAAAACCGCCTGCATGTTAACCAACTTATGGAAGCCATTGCTTGTGATGACACGACCTTTACCCGACCTCTAAACTTTGACACTGCAGGTGAGCGTGCGTAAAGACGCCGCCGCGTGCTCGCAGGAGTGTGCGTGGATTTCAGTGGCGCCATCTATCTTTACTTCCTCGTTTGATGTATGTATCTCTCTCTCTCTCTCTCTCTCTCTCTCTCTCTTTCTCTATATATATATATATTTATCC